GGTAGTTTCTTTCACCAATGCATTCCCTCATCATTGTGATGATCAGCAACATCAACATCCTATTTCATTGCCAGGTAGCAAACTCCAAAAGCTTGCTTCTTGCCATCTCCAGTTGGGCCAACACAGGCATGCGCATGCTAGCTATCCACCGCGTCTGCAAGTCTCAACATGGATGCAATCTGTAGCATATGGATTCATTCATTCACTCGTTAAACTATGAGAGGGCCGTGCCATGAGGGCAGACAAGCTCATCTAACCCTGAATCTTCTTGCGCAGAATGTCCTTGAGGGTAACGGCATCAGCCGCAAACTTCGAAATGCCCTCGCGCAGCTTCTCCACGGCCATCTGGTCCTCGTTGAAGTAGAAGCGGAAGTCGGGCTCGTTGTTGATGTAGCTCTTCTTCGGAATGTCGAGCTTGGTGGCATCCTCGGCGATGAGCTTCTGGGGTACGTCCTCGTTGGAGTTGTAGAGCTCCTCGAGCAGGTTGGGCTAGTCATAGTGAGCATGAGCGCGCAGTATTTCACCAGTATTCAGACTTACGGCAATCGTGAGGTAGTCGCATCCAGCGAGCTCCGTCACCTCACCAACGCTGCGGAACGAGGCACCCATGACAATGGTCTTGTAGCCGTGCTTCTTGTAGTAGTTGAAGATTTGCTGGACGCTCTTGACACCAGGGTCCTCTTCCTTCTTGTACTCCTTCTTCGTCGATGCCTTGTACCAGTCGAGAATGCGGCCGACAAAAGGTGAGATGAGGAATGCGCCAGCTTCGGCAGCGGCAATGGCCTGGACTTGCGAGAACATGAGCGTCAGGTTCGTGTTGATGCCGTGGTCACGCTGGAGGATCTCGGCGGCCTTGATGCCCTCCCATGTCGACGCGATCTTGATCAGGACGCGGTCTTTTGAGATGCCGACCTCCTTGTACAGCTGGTCATAGTTAGCATGGGCCGGAGCTTCATTTCAATGACTACCAGATGAAAGCCATAGTAGATGTATAAATAGATAAGACTTACCTCGATGATGTGCAGGGCCTTCTCGACTGAAGCCTTGGTGTCGAACGAGAAGCGGGCGTCTACTTCTGTAGACACCTTGCCAGGGACGATCTGGAGAATTTCCTTGCCGAATTGTACCAGGAGGTTATCCAATGTAGCCTCGACCTGTTCTTCAATGTTCTTGCCTCCACGCTTCTTGCCGTACTCAACAGCAGCATCGATCAGCTTGGCATACTCCTCCTTTTTTGAGGCGGCGAGGATGAGCGAGGGGTTGGTCGTGGCATCCTGGGGCTGGTACTTCTTGATCGTGGCAAAGTCACCAGAGTCGGCGACGACAGTCTGTGGATTCTTTGGTCAGTAAAGGGTTGCAGGCTGATGGCCAGGTCTTGCGGTGTAGTGTTTGTTTTTGTGCATGCCATCTCCGAATGCTCCGGTGCAGACAGTATAGCATGGTGGGGTGGGGAAACTTACGGTGCCAGTGGCCTTCAATTGATCGAGCGAGTTGGTCATTATGAGTGATGTGGAGAAGAACGAGAATTAAGATACAGTACTGGGTGGGTTTCTTGTGTTGAAAAGGGGGGAGTAGGGCAAAGTATATGAAGGGTGTGTTTGTGTGCAGGAGCAGTGCTGCTGAATGTTGGGAGCTGCTTCTGGGCGGGTTGGTGGAGCCCCTCGGAGCCCCTCGATGACAAAAAAGGCTGCAGCGTCACAGGTGGCGAGAATAGGCAAGACGCGAACTACGGCCGGGAAAATGCGCAAACACTCGACCGATCTTGTCAAGCCAGCGCCAAAGACCCTGACCTGAGCCGTTGGCTGCAGTCCATTCTCTCCCCTGCTACCACGAACCGCGAATTGCAAATGCTAAGAGTGTGGTCTAGAGTAGAGTACTTGGTAAGTAGTACTCTCGAATGGGTAGGTAGTTACGCCATTCTTACAAACCACCTATGATGCAATCACGAAGCATTCTTGCAGCAAACGTCCACGACGTCGCATTTACCACCACCAACACACCCCTCCACGCCCATGCACTCGTTTTGCGTGGACATTGGCCGCGCCACCGCTTATCACGCGTCCTGTTGTGTCGTGAGAATTGCGGAAAAACAGAAAAATACAATAAAAACGTTTGGCGCTGCTCGGAGCACTGTCGCCCGAGACCAGGGCCCTCGCATAGCAAAAGCCGGTTGACTGGTGTCCGGCATTTGACTGGGATGGTATTGCACGTGCACACGGATCATCACGATTTCACGCTGCACGTGGTGAATGGCTATAGTCCATGCTACTGGCTGGTCATGCATATTTTTGACTATACAATGTTTGAGTGCTTGTTGCTCGAAAATGGCTCAGCACGCAGACTACCTATCCCAGCCATGAGTCCGAGTGCCACTGTTTGTTCTTCCCGGATTTTCTCCCCTGAGCTACTTGCAGTCCACTCATAGTACAATAACGACTCCCCAACCCACACGTGCAAAATCATCACGCAAAAGACTCGCACACAGACGCTTTACCGATTACTCATTGTATTCATCTACCTATCCTGGACATCACAAGAGCCATGACCGTCCTGCAACGACAACCGCGACTGAGATGACCAAATCTCTGAGCCCAGATTGGCTCCGTGTTGCCGTTGCGGATGTCCATACCAAGCCGCATGTACTTGGTGATTACAACCCCAAATCTCCACTTCTAGCTCATTCAGCCGATTGCCGACTCAAAGCAGAGGGACAGACTACTCTTGGTGTGTGTCAAGCCAAGGGACACCAACTCAATGCCCATTTCTTCAACACCCAAACTCCTTTCCAATGCAGTGGGGGTATCGATGCTTACAATCCGAGAAGCCATGCAGAAACGCCGTGCGCTATGGTTCGGCAGTAACTTCAAGTAGTGGAGGGACATACGCAGAAGTTTAGGGACAAGAGGACTATGCTGTGCTGGTGGGAGTCAAGGGTCAGTAGCACGTATGCACAACAGTACGCAACCTTGGTCTACTGTCCAGCCGGCGGCAGGCTGACGACTCGAGTTTCGTCGTTGAGAAAGTGGCGGCGGTACTTTGCAATCTCCGCAGCAATGCCATTGGGATCCTTGATGTTCTTTACACGGAGCTCTTTAAGAACACCGCGCAGACCGTCGTTCCACCTCTGCCTCTCCTCGGCCGTCTCACCGGGGTTCGCTGTGCCCAGTTGGACGAGCAATTTCTCACCTATAATGCACAGTGTCAGTCTGCGTACAGTCGACGGGCGAAGACCAACGCGAGCCTTGATATCTTTCCTGCTACGCACCAGTAATACTAATGTCTCGGAAGTGCTGATCGGTACAAGTCGAGTCGTTGCAGGACCCACCCGCAGACTCGTACTGGCACAAGAGTTTCTGTGGGTCAATTTGATGGCTAAAAGTCCAAGACAAGAAGCCACCTGATACTTCGCTAGCGTATCTAGGATGGTACCGATACGATTTGAACATTCGAAGAGGGCTCTCGTACGGAGTGAATCTAACTGCTTCATCTTTATCCTCTACCGGTGCCACCTACTATAATTAGCGATGCCTCCTAGGTAACGGAGAACATACAGAGTCTACAGCGTAGGTATCAGCTGCATCTGTGACCTGCCATCCACGCGCTAGAGTACCAGCGTTGCCGGTAGGCGGAGGCGACACGTTGGGCCCTAATATGGAGTCAGGTTCGGAAGTAATCTCTTCATCCAAATCCGAATTCGAGTTACTTGACTCTTCCAACGATGTCGACATGTCCATTTCATCATCGTCTCCTTCAGCGGGGGGCATTGTGTTACCAGACCCAGCAGTGGCAATGCTCTTGTCAACTTCAGGCATCTCCCGATCGATATCTGGAGGCTCATAGTCTTCCTCATCTTCAGTAGAATCTTGAGATGTGACCAAAGAGCGCCCAGCGTCTATGCCAGAAGCATCTGTAACTTGCAATGCTGTTTTCGTTTCGATCGCAGGTTCTCCTGGCTCATAATCCTCTTCATCTTGAGCTTCATCTACTGATTCAGACATCTCAACTTCTCCTTCCTCAGAGGGAGATATTGGATCACTGGCAGTAGGGTCCACCGGAATCTGCGGGGCTGCTTCAGCAGTCCTTTCGATATCAAGATCCATTTCATCTGGAGGGGGAGGACTATAGAAATCTTCCTCGTCATCAAGTGGAGTGGCTGAGCCACGTTCGACAGCGACGATATCTTCGGGTCGGGTAGGCTCGGCCTTGTTGGAATCCAGATTCTGGGATTGATTCTCGGATTGCGGCCCACGCAAATTTACGGCGTCGTCGGGCAAAATGGGTGATTTGGATTTGGGAGGTTCTTCAGGCATAGCCTTTGGCAGGAGCGGCGTGGGAGGACCAAGGCCAGGGAGACCAGTGAAATTTGGGAAGGTATTAGAATTAGTGGATAATTCAGGCGGCGACGGTCCCGGAGCCGCCGCAACAGCTGGTTCCGTCGTCGAAGCAGTTTGCGACTCGCCAGAGGAATTAGATGCCATAGTCGCCTCCTGGGACGAAGCCTCCTTCTCAGGAGAATTTTCGCGCTCGATTTCGTCTTTCTTAGCTTTTAGCTGCGCATGGGACATCCCCTCAGTATCTATTCCTAGATCTTCAAGCTCGCGAGTGAGTTGTGCTTTGGCCTTGGTGATCTTCTCGTTTTCGGCCACAAGCTTGTTCATTTCTTCGGTAAGGCGAGCCATTCGGCTTGCGTTGTTTGCAATCTCCGCATCGAGAGTAGGCAGCTGAGACTGTAGCTCAGCGCGCCTCTGATGTTTGTGATCCCTACCAGAGTCGGCGATGGCGCGTGTTGCCTTAGCTGGAGATCCTCCAGAATCAATGGCCATGTACGATGACTTCTGGACTACACCTTCTTCAGGATGTGGCCCAGAAGTGGAAGATTGTTGACGGAGTGGTGATGATGTCGTCACAGTAGTGGCGGCGACAGCGGCGGCAGCTGCAGCCCTATCTTTTTCACGTTTCTCGGCCAGCTTCTTTTTGAGAGTCAACCGCATGGCTGCAAGCTGCTTTTCTTTGTTCTCCAGCTCCTTCTCTCGTGCCTGCGTAGACGGCGTTTGAGGACCGGACGTATTAAAAGTGGACGAAGCGGGCTTAGCAGAGCCTGGACGAGGAGGTAAACTAGATGGAGTACCGACATCTTGAGACCTGTTTTGAGTAATAGCTATGCTACCAGAGGAAAGCTTCTGCCCTGGCTCGTCGTCATCAAGATCCATGTCACTACCATTGGATTCATCATCACTGACTTGGATGATCATGGACTCTCCTTCGTCATGAGGGGCATGCGGAGATTGGCCCAGTGGCCGAGAATAGGGAGTGACACAACTGTGAGGTGTAGATGCTCCAGTAGAGTCCGAAGGGGCTGACCGCTTTTGTGGTATCGAAGATGTCGGGCGGACAGGAGTCGAGGTCTCCCTAACATGCTGTTGCTGATTGTTCATGAAAAGCCCTGGTATGCCCGGAAATGCAGTTATGGGGGCACGGTTAGCCCGAGTGTCCGAGGTGGCTGTGGCAGGAATTGTGTTTTGAGTTGGCGCACTAGGAGGCTGAACAGTCTCTTTTGTGAGAGGCTCTGAGACTGTATTTTCCTTGACAGGTGGTGCTGACTTTGGCTGCCCCTTTAGCTCTTTCAAGCGTTGCTTTACTAGTTCAGTGGTTCGTGCTCGACGTTGTTCATCGGTTATAGACGTCTTTACAGCAGGCGTTGGCGTGGCCTGTGACGCCTGGACGGCTGGCACAGTGGTAGCAGATTTACTGGTAGAATTGGCTTGAGAAGTCTGCTGGGGCGTGCTAGGTTTTGCTTCAGCTGCTTGCTTGGCCATCCTAGCGGCCTGCAGACGCGCAATATAATCTGTACGATCGCCTCGCGTAACGGGTGACGCTGCCGCCTTGCTGGCCATCGAGGAGACTGCATTGGTCTTGACCACCGGAACGGCCTGCTTGGGCTTGCTGTTGTCGACTGGTTGATTCGACTGGTTCGAGAGGTGTTCAGCAGCAGACTTAGCTGTCGCATTCGCGTTGCCGTTTGGAAGGGCAATCTGCGCAGGTTCAGACGGAAGATTTAGACTTTGGTACAATCCTCGAAGGAGCTCGGCATCTAATGGCTCTTGTGCAAGTACGCGATAACCAATGCCGCTGCTGTTTAGGGTCTTTATGAACTGCTTAGCTTCCTCTCGGTCCTTCTGTACCTTCTTCTCCAGGCTCGGTGGAGTCTTAGGCCGAGAATTCGCAGCGGCAGATGGCTTAGAAGGTGTCTGCCCCACTGCTGGGCGATCAGGATTGTAAGCCTCCTCCACACGACGCGCAGCCGACGTGACCTGGGGCATAGAGCGTGGAGTTCCCATGGGCGCTTTGCCAGTGGATGGGACTCGCGAGGCACCGTTACTCTCGCTCAGCTCGCCATCCTCCCTGTCGCTGTCCGTGACCTCTTGTATGCGACCCCCTGCAGGCATGGTTGGCTGCGGATAAGATTGTGGTGGGGGTGGGGGGGGCGGGAATCTCATGGGCATTGTGTGATGCTGCGGTGCCTGTGGAAGCGACGGTAGAGGCCCAGCTACACCAGGCATCGGCGGAGGCGGGAACATGCCGTGCTGCTGGAACATGGACATCCAGGTTTGGGGATCTGGGGGTAACTGTTGTGGCCACGCGCCGGCTTATGAACATTAGCCGAATTGGCCTGGAGGCGAGGCAGGCTGGCGCGAACTTACCTGGGGGATATTGAAGCTGCTGCTGGTTGTTCTGGCTGTAGGAAGCAAAGTTGAAGCCAGGAAGAGCAGGAGGTGGCTGTTGCAGCCCTGGGATGCTTGGAAAGACATTGGGGGCAGGAGCATGCTGGACGTGCGAGTGGCCTTGGTGCCCATCAGACTGTGTGCCGGGCGCAGATTGCTGAGGGCGCGGATGAGAGAAAGCAAAAGGCGAGCCGTACCCGGGCGGCTGATGGCTGTTGTAGGCCATGCTGCGGCCGGCGACTGAAGCTCTACGCGTCTCTTGTCACGATTGCACTGGCCGTCAACAACATGAGGCAGCTAGCGCGCAGGTTTCAAGAGGGGCGAGGAGCCGCGGTGACTCAGCAGCAGTGATAGTAGTAGTAGTAGTAGTAGTAGTAGTAGTAGTAGTAGTAGTAGTAATAGCAGGTGATGGTGTTGATGGATTGCGTGGTTGGATAGTCTGGGTCGCAGCAAGAGGGCCGAGTGGGTCGTGGTGGTGGCCGTGGATGGACATGGACATGGGATGGACGGATCAATTTCTCGGGGTGTGTCACGTGTGGTTGCTCTTGCGCGCGTCTACTGTGTATGCAGCATGTAGAAGTACTCTATGGGGGCCCCTGGACTGCTGTGGTGGGTCGTGCTTCTTTCGCGAGCGGGTCGGTCAGGTATTTGTGTAATTACAGCAAAGTAGAGAGGAATAGGTGCAGAGTAGGCGGAGTAGGGAAAAAGTTGGGAGGACAAGTGGGGATAGGGAGGAATAGGCACCAGTAACAGCCTAACCGGGATCTTTACAGGCTGTGGTTACCGGGGTGAGGGCTCGAGCGCTGGCATTGGCGCGGGCGGAGAGTTTGTTTACATACTACAGACCATCATTGCATGTGGAGAGTGAGCGAGCGCATGTGGCACCGTCCCCTCTTCTGCATATCCATTGTAACCCACCGATATCCTCAAGCTCGGAAAAGCAGGCGGTGCATCCTTGTAAATACATAATTCTTCTGCCTCCCCTTCCTCGTCTTCGCCCGCTTCTGTGACTTCTTCCGGCTTTCTGCTGGCTGGCGGTTGCATTCCTTCCTTGGGTGCACACTCGCAGAATGGGAAGATAAGTCTCTCGTCGCACCTGTCACCCAACCGAATACCGCCTTCTACAACAATGAGCGCACCTGCGCAGAATGGCCGCCCCTTTGCACGCAATTCGCGTAACAGCCCGTTTGCGCGGACCACGGCCTCTGCATCACCGCCCCCGGGAGTAGTAGCTTCGAATGGAACGCGGCCCAATTCTGCCCTCCTCACATCCTCGCCCTTCGCCGAGCCAGACGTCACCATGGGCCATGTCCGACACCAGTCGCTCACCAATCTCACCAGCCCGCTGGTGGGACGCAGCGATTCGAGCCGGCTGCGCTCCAACTCGCATCGCAATAGCACGCCCATGGGCACCTTTGCGCCCCAATTCATCTCCGACGACGACAACGAAGCACCACGCATGGGGGGCATCGTCGAGGGCGAAAACGACTTCTCCGGCAAGCGCTATGTATGGCTCCGAGATGCAGCCACGGCTTTTGTGCGAGGATGGGTCGTCGAGGAGCTGCCAGAGGGGCAATTGCTGGTCCAATGTGACAATGGCTCCCAACAGCACGTCGACGCCGATGCCGTCGACAAGGTCAATCCGGCCAAGTTTGACAAGGCAGACGACATGGCCGAACTGACCCACTTGAACGAGCCTTCGGTCATCCACAATCTGCATATGCGGTATCAGGCCGATCTCATTTATGTACGTCTGGCATGCCTCCACTTCTGTACTGCAGCAACTGACATTAGCAGACGTATTCGGGACTCTTCTTGGTCACTATCAACCCGTACTGCCCCCTGCCAATCTACTCGCGAGATTACATCAACATGTACCGGGGGCGGAGTCGAGAGGAGACCAAGCCACACATCTTCGCCATGGCAGACCAGGCCTTTCGTAGTCTGGTGGATGAAGGCACAAACCAGAGTATCCTCGTGACGTATGTGGTAGAAGGAAATCATGGGCCCAACTGGGTACAACACTAACATGTGATAGCGGCGAGTCCGGTGCGGGAAAGACGGAAAACACCAAGAAAGTGATACAGTATCTAGCTGCCGTCGCAAACTCGGAAACCCCACGAGTAAAGTCAGGAGGCCGCAACCTTTCCAATCTCTCCGAGCAAATTCTGCGCGCGAATCCCATCCTCGAAGCCTTTGGCAACGCCCAAACAGTACGAAATAACAACTCATCACGTTTTGGAAAGTTCATTAGGATCGAATTCTCTCGTAATGGCCATATTGCGGGTGCATACATTGACTGGTACTTGCTGGAAAAGTCCAGGGTCGTGCGAATTAATCCGAATGAGCGCAACTATCATATCTTTTATCAACTACTCCGGGGAGCAGAACATAATATGAAGAGAGAATTCTTCTTAGATGGCAAAGATACCGAAGACTTCGACTACACCAAGCATGGCAACGACGTCATATCTGGTGTCTCGGACCAGGACGAGTGGAACGCGCTCGTGGAGGCCTTTCACATCATGGGATTTGCCGACCATGAGCAAGCATCGATCCTGAAGACTGTTGCAGCAGTCTTGCATCTGGGCAACATCAGAGCTGTCAAAGAGAGCCGGCGAGCGGATCAAGCAACACTTAATTTCGCCGCAGAACAACAGGCTCGCATCGTGGCGCAGCTCCTTGGGATTTCTACCGAAGACTTCATCAAAGCGCTGCTACATCCTCGCGTCAAGGCAGGACGTGAATGGGTGGAAAAAGTCCAGACACCAGAGCAAGTCAATCTCGCAATCGATGCGCTCGCAAAAGGCATCTATGAGCGTGGTTTCGGCGACCTAGTTGACCGCATCAATCGTCAACTAGACCAGACTGGAGCTGCTGGTGACGACGCTCACTTCATTGGTGTGCTCGATATTGCCGGTTTTGAGATCTTCGACGAGAACAGCTTCGAGCAGTTGTGCATCAATTACACGAATGAAAAGCTCCAACAATTCTTCAACCACCATATGTTCGTGTTGGAGCAAGAAGAATATGCACGCGAGCAGATCGAATGGAAGTTTATCGACTTTGGTCGTGACTTACAGCCTACCATTGACCTCATCGAATTACCCAATCCTATTGGTATCTTCTCCTGCTTGGACGAAGACAGTGTGATGCCCAAGGCTACCGACAAAACCTTCACCGAGAAATTACACTCCCTATGGGATCGCAAAAGCACAAAATACAAGCGTTCTCTCCTCACACAAGGCTTCGTCCTTACACACTACGCTGCTGAAGTCGAGTATTCTACCGAAGGCTGGCTCGAGAAGAACAAGGATCCGTTGAATGACAATGTCACGCGACTGTTGTCCGCATCATCAGACCAACAGATCGCTACACTCTTTGCAGATTGTGCCGACGTAGATGATGAGATGGGCGGAGCTCGTAGCCGGGTCAAGAAAGGACTCTTCCGCACTGTCGCCCAGCGCCACAAGGAGCAACTTTCGACACTTATGACCCAGCTGCATTCAACACATCCGCACTTCGTTCGATGTATCTTGCCAAATCACAAGAAGCGACCGAAGCAGTTCAGCGCCCCACTTGTTCTAGATCAGCTTCGATGTAACGGTGTTCTGGAAGGCATCCGTATCGCGCGTACTGGATTTCCCAATCGACTCAACTTTGTTGAATTCCGTCAACGATATGAGGTCTTATGTAGAGACCTTCCCAAGGGCTATTTAGAAGGACAGGTTGCAGCCAAGATCATCTTGGAGAAGCTCAGCCTGGATCGCGCTCTTTATCGTGTGGGTATCACCAAGGTTTTCTTTCGTGCAGGTGTACTCGCCGAACTAGAAGACCAAAGAGATACGCTCATTCGTGATATCATGATACGCTTTCAGTCGGTGGCGCGTGGATTTGTCCAACGTCGCATTGCCAACAAACGTCTGTACAGAGCGGAGGCAACTCGAATCATTCAGCGTAACTTCTCGGTCTACCTGGATCTTCAGTCGAATCCGTGGTGGAGGCTTTTTGCTCGCATGAGGCCTATGCTTGGAGCCACTCGACAAGCAGCGGAAGTGAAAAAGCGGGATGAAATGATTCAGCAACTCGAGGAGAAGATGCTACTGGAAGCAGAAGAGAAGCAGCGTGTCGAGGATGAGAAAAGACGTGCCGAAATGGATATCCAGCGCATCCAAAAGACGCTCGAAAGCGAACGTGCTTTGGCTCTTGACAAGGAGGAGATATTCAAACGCCTTCAACTGCGTGAAGCTGAGCTATCCGAAAAGCTTGCAGGCGCTATCGAGGACCAAGATCAGCTCGAAGATCAGCTGGATGCTCTAGTAGAGGCAAAGAGGAAGACTGAAGAGCAGGTCGAATTTCTGCGCAGAGAGCTCGAGCAGGCTGGCCAAATCATCGGCAGGCTAGAAAGCGAAAACCAGGACCTGGAAGAGCAGAGTGCTCGCCTGAGTCGTCAGATCGAAGAGCTTGAGAAGGCCAAGGCGCAACGTACTCAGGCTGAGGAGTCCTTGTCTCAGGAAGTGAAGATGCTCAGCAGCCATCTCAGTCTGAAAGAGCGCAAGTTGCAGGACCTCGAAGCAAAACTACTCAAGAACGACCAGGATCTCGATATCAAACTTGCTGCCTCCGCAAAAGAAGTACAAGCGGGCAAGAAGCACATCAAGGAGCTCCTGGACGAAAATCGACAGATTCGGCAACAGATTTCTGACCTCTCTTCAACATCAACAAGCTATGAAGATCTCATTCGGCGGAAAGAGAGTGAGCTGGCCATCCTGAAGACTGACTTGAAGAGATACGTGGAAGATCGCCGCATTTTCGACGATGAGAAACGTACCTTGGCATCGAAGCATGACGATCTTCAGAGCCGTCTCCGTGATGCAAGGGCAGAGCTAGATGCTGTCCGTTCGCAGAAGCAGCAGCTGGAGCGCGAGGCTGCTGATGCCAAGCGTCTGCTAGAAGAGAAGATATCAGAGGATGCACAAGATACCGAAGGCCGAAAGCTGCTTGAAGAACAAACCGAGGCGCTCAAGGCAGAGCTCTTCGAAGTACGGAAGGAGCTCAGCCGAGAGAGACAGTCCCGTGATGACGTTGAAATGCTTGGAGAGCACAAGTACGATACCCTCAAGCGCGATTTTGATGCACTGAACGAGTCGAAGATCACCATCGAGAAAGAGATGTATGCTCAACAAGATGTGTTGCGCCGGGCTACAGAGACTCGCGCTGCCCACGAAAAGGAGCGTAAAGAATACCAGACTGAACTTCGCAGCCTCCGCGAGAAGTATCTGAAGCTGGAAGAAGAGAAGCTGGACGCAGATGCGGCAGCAGAACGCGCGCAGACAAGACTTGCGACAGAGCGACAAGCCATTCAGGAACGCGAGCTTGAAGCCAAGGACCAGCAACTCGACCAGCTTGAGGCTGAGCGAAACGACCTCGCTGAGCAAGTCCATAACCTGACACAAATGCTTGCCGACTCCGATTCATTCAAAGAGCGCAATGATCAGCAGAAAGAACGTCTTGAGCGCGAGCTGGTCACCATCAAGGGGCGACTGGCTGCCTCAGAAAATGACAACCGAGCTCTACTCAACAAGGTCCAGCAAAAGAATCTAGACATTGCACGATCTAACTCTCGAGCGGGCGACACTCAGCGCTCAAAGATCGCTCAGCTGACGCACGAAAAGTCCAAGGCCGAGGAGGAAAACAAGCGTCTATTCCGTCAACTCGAAGATGCGCAGCTCACCATTGCCTCTTTGGAGAAGCAGAAGGAGAAGCTGTCGTTGAGCCTCGAGGATCTGAATCATGAAGTTGCAAGAGAACACAAGTCCAGCCGCAATGCAGAGAAAGCCTCATCGACAATCAACCTTCAACTCGCGGATGTCAATCGCAAACTTGAGACTGAACGACAGCTGCGTACTCAAGCACAAGCCAACACTCGCGCTGTCCAAACGTCGCTTGATAACACTAATCGCGAACTTGAAGAGTGCCACCAGCAACTTGTACTACTTCGCAAGGTCTTTGATCCTCACTCTGCTGAATTCCCTCAGACCTATGAAGCCGCAAAGCCAGATATTGCAAAGACCGTGGACCTTGCAGAACGTTTGGAAGCTGCCAACCAAGCTTTGCGCGTAGCAAGTGAACGTTACTCCAGGGCCGAAGCTCAGCTTGATGAATTGCGACAGAGGCATGAAGGTGAACTCAACGACATGGATGCACGCCATGCTAATTCGAAGCGAGCGCTGCTTGAAGAGATGAACAGCTCACAAGTGAATCAAGCCAATGCCAGGCGATCGCCAACACACAACCGCAAGGAAAGCGAGAATCGAAGGCCGTTCTCGGTCACGAACACTCCGACAAACCAGCGACACATCAGCAACGCCACAAATGACTCTGCCCGCTCTGATCGAACAGTCGACACCGTGGCATTCAACAACCGTATGGATATGGCTGCTGAGCTGGAGCTGCTACAAAATCAATTGCAAATGTCAGAGATGCAGAACAAGCACTTGCGAGGCCAACTGGAACGTTCACCAACCCGCAACGGCTGGCAGGACGACAGTCCATCAGTGCGACGGGTCCAGAAGCTGGAGCGCGAAAACTATCGCTTGCATGATATGCTCGATGATTCTGCAAAGAAGGTCTCCGCTCTCGAACATAGCTTGCAGTCGGGTCAGCTGTCATACCAGGAAGTCCAGACCAAGTCTCATGAGGAACTGTTTGAACTGTTGACCTCGCAGGAACAGTCGCGCAAGTCGATTGTGCAGGCCCATAACAATGCCATCAACGAGCTTGCCGATGCCAAGACGGCCTTTGACGAGATCAAGCAAGCCAAGATTTCCATGGAAATGGAGATTCGCGAGATACAGGCCGAGTATGACGAGATGGTGTCCGAGCGGGAACAGGAGCAGGCCAACCACAATCAGCTATTACAAGAGTTTGCGGACCTTCAAATCCGTCTTGATAACGAGACGTCTACTCTGGTTGACGTTCAATCCAGCTTGAACCTCTACAAGAGCCGGGCAGACGAGTACTTCAGCAAGCTCGAACAGGCCGAAATCGCGGTGCTGAGGGCTTCACGTGCTGAGCAATTCGCGAAGCAACAAGCAAAGGAGACGGAAGAGACATGCGCCACCATCATGGCGCAACGCAAAGAGATGGACGGTATGGTTGAAGACCTCCAACGCCAGGTTCAGCGATATGACGAGCGTGTTGAAGACCTTCAGGCAGATCTTCAGACAGCTCTACAGGCCAAGAAGCGTCTTCAGAACGAGCTTGAGGACTATAGAAGCCAACATGCTCACGATATTGAGGACAGCGAGACATCGCTTGAGCAAACACGCAAGAAGTACCAGGCCGAGCTGTCCACACTCACGACTGAGCTCGACCAAGAGCGTGAGAATATCATCTTCGTTCGCGAAGAAAACGGCCGGTTGCGCGAGGAGATTGAGGAGCTCCGAAACAAGTGGGACGACGAGTTGCTCAACTCATCGACTTGGGCAAAGGAAAAGAGTCGTCTGGAGATGACTCTACAAACCATTTCCAACTCCCGCGACGAGGCGGCCAACGCACATAACGAAGCACAGTCGAAGATTGTCAGCCTGTTGTCGCAAGTCCGCACCCTCCGTACCAACGTTGATGATCTTGCAGCTGAACGCGACTCTGCAATCGAAGAGAAGAAGCGCCTCGAAGCCCGTCTTCAAGAAGCTGCAGACACACTTGACGAGCTTTCTCGCTCAGAATCACCGGCCATGCGTAATGCTGCAGCCTATGATCGCGACTTGCTGGAGCTAAAGTCCGGTCTCGCACAGCAAGAAGACATTACGGCGGCCGCCGTCGGCAAGATGCGTCGCGCTGAAGCCCTTGCGCAAGAGCTCCAAAAGGATATCGTCGCCGAACGCGAAGCCAACGTCAAACTCCACAAAGACAAGGCGGCTGTCGAGAAGGCTTTGAAGGACCTCCAGCTCCGTCTTGTAGATCTAGAGACAAAGGGCTACAGTGGTTCCGCTGGCAAGGACGTGCGTTTCTTGCACGGCCGGATTCAAGAGGTAAGTCTCTAAACACTCATACCCTCTTCAGCAGCTAACGTGACGAAACAGCTTGAACAAGCCCTTGATAATTCGGAATCAACCCGCCTCTCCGAATCCCGAAGCGTCCGCAATGTGGACCGCACAGTTCGTGATCTGCAAACGCAAATCGAACGTCGTGATAAGCAAAACGCTGCTGTGGTTGAGGACCTCAACAAATCCCGAGACAAGATTTCAAGCTTGTTGGCGACTATTGACGACCTGCAGTCCTCAGAATCAGCCAACCAACTTGCCGCTAAGCGCGCTGAGCGTGAGCTTCGCGAAGAGAGGGAGAAGACTCTTCGTCTCGAACGAGAACTCGAAGGGTGGAAAAACTTGAGGGTGGAGAGGAGGAGCGCGTTGGGTGTCCCAGGCCAGGGAGGGCCGGCAAGTGAGGCTGGCGACCAACGTTCACGTCGCGGATCCTCTATTGGATTACTGATGGGCGAAATGGGCGAGGCTAGTGCAAATGAAAAGGGAAAGTACGGCTCCCTGAGGAGTAACCTTCGACGCGTTTCTGGACAGAAGGGTTTTTTGTAGATGACGGGGTCTCCGAGGGGAGGGGGGAATGGAGATCCCGGAATGAGATGATTAGGAGGTTGGACCCGTTGTATGAAGATGAAGAGGGTTCAGCTGCTGTAGATGTTTATTCGAGGAATCCTTTGAAACAGGTCATGTCGAATGGGTCGGTAATTTCTGGGGCGGATTCTGCGATTGGGGGAGTTGGCTTTGGCACTGGTAGCCGTCTTGGTGGTGGTCCTGGAGTTGGGACTGACGCTGGTTTTTCCGTTGGACACGATACTGGCACCGGCATGGAAATGGACATGGAAATGGCAATGCAGGAGGGCGAGGACGAGCTCGAGCACATCTACCTGGACCTCGACGACGATCATGAAGGCTCCACCCTCATCGCCTCTTCAGACCAAGGCGTCATGCAAGGCATCAAGCAAATGGACCTCGAAATCACTGACAATGAGGTCTCGGACTCGGACGCTGACGCCGACGTCGACGCTTCGCCTCCACCCCACGACCATCTCGCACACTCTGCCGGCCGGGGCCTCAAGAGGAAGAGAACAATTCGGTTGATCATTCGCTCCAGGGCGTTTCTTTGAACAAGCAGCACGCGCGAGTGGTTTGATTTGGTGCGGATTGGGATTGTCTTGGTTGGCTGTTTGTATGGGGTGTGGGTACGGGGTTGCATGTGGTTATGGGGCGTTGACGGTATATACCTTGGTCTGAGGGACGAGCTTCTTCTTTATTTGTTTTCTACGCTTGGAAAGTTGGGTGGGCTGGGTTGTGCTAGGGGGTTAGGAACGTGTGGGTATGACGTTTGCGAGGTTGTCTATAGGAAAAATGTTTTTG